AAGGTGCGTCTTGAGACATGTCTGCACTAAGCAAGTTTATGTAACAGTCATGAGTATTAGTCTTTTTAAAGGCTTTATCTGGTGACCCAAACTGATGAAGTATTGCAATCTTAGTTTTCCTCACCGCTTCGTCGAGGTGCTGTCGATCTGGGTGGTCGTTGGCTGTGTGCTTGAGGATCTCTCTGAGCAGCAGTGGGTATTTCACCAGCCGGCTGCGGGGGATGTCCAGGAAGTTCCACAGGTCCAGCTTCCTGCTAAAAGGTGACTGGAGACAACGCTGCAAGAAGTCCTGGACTCGCCGATCTTGCTTCTTCTGGTCCAACAAAGCCTTGGCTTTGACCTGGTTACTGCAGTACGGCGTGTAGGCAGAGAGGCACGGCAGCTACAGCGACACAAAGACAAACACTCTGATAAATACTTGGTGAAGAGCTAATATCTGGATTCTGCTGTCTGTTGATTAGAAAAATGCTCACCCAGTCAGTTAAAATATGTCCTACATGATCTGTGGACCCGTCAGGTTTTCTGGCATCTCGGAGGCGACTCAGCAAATCTGAGGTAAGACAGAAAAGTTAAAATTTGTAAAAAGAGACGTCAGAGTGAGAATAATGGATGCTTTAAGGGCATCAAGTAATACAGAGAAAGGAAAACTCCACAAAATGAAATTTACACCTAAACTCTAATATTTTATACAATAGAAGTGCAAATATGTGTCATGGTTCTGGGTCATTTTGACACAGCTCTTTGAGTTATGTTTTGGTTTGTATTAAGGGTTATATTCTTTCAGTCTGTCTCAAGTCCGCGTCTTTGTAAATTGTTTCTTTTTTCCTGTTTTATTTTGATAGTCCCCATCCTATGTCAGTGTATTCTCTTTTATTTCCCCCTGTCTCGTTAGCCTTAAGTTCTCCCAGCTGTGCCTTTCTCCTGTTTTCCATTTCCTGATTACTCCACTGTGTATTTAAGCCCTGTAAGCTGTTTGTTTTGTCTCAAGCGCCTGATACATGTCAGTCCTTAGTTTCGCCGTTCAGAGTTTTGGTGACTTTAATTTATTAAGAGTTTTTTCTAGCAATAAAGCTGTGTTTTGAGTTCCAGTCCCGTCTTTGAGAGTCCTGCATTTTGGGTTCTTTTTACTGCTTGCCTGCACACAGCCTAACATGATAATATGTAAGTGTATATAAAAATGTATAAAATGTATAAAAATATCGACCAAAAATTAAAAAAACAAACCAAAACAAAAAAAAAAAGAACGTGGCCAGCCTAAATCACTAATTGTTTTACTTTAACTGCCATGACTCCTCCACCTGAATGCTAATGAGGCTCGGTTTAATTTTAGTTAAGAAAGCAATGAATTATCAAACATCCATTACAGATTGTTTTTATACAAAGAGCATTAAGGTTGTTACATATGTCATTCATCTGTATGTCTACATAAAGATCATGCAAATGACTAAAGATTCCTGTGAAAAGATGCTGTAAATGGTGGTAATTAAAATATTTTCCTACCTTCATGCAGAGGTATAAGTGATTCCAGAGTACCAAAGATCTGGTTCAGTTCTTGCTCGGTCATGATGGATAGCTTGAGCATTGGGTCGTGGTAGGCCTACAGCACACGCATAAAGAAACACAGGTGACTATACTGACACTGAAGGCAAGTTCTTCATTGAAATATAAATAAACAAGTTACTTCACCTTCTTGGCCAACTTCAGATCCTCCACCAAATCCTGCTCGCCCTGAGCCAGCTCAAATATAGCCTGCAAAGGAAGAACAATTACTTTGAGAACTCAATGCTACAGATTGACGTTAGTGTTAGTTTGGTTCAGTGGCTGAAAATGAACATGCAGTATCTGGAGTGGCCACTTGAGGCTGACTTACAAAGTGAGTCAGCCCCATTGACTCCCATGTTAAAATGCCCAACTTTACAGCAGAAACAAACATGTTTACAGTGTGGTATATAAACAGCTTTAGAATCTATGGATATTTCCCCCTTTATAACGGCTCTATGGTGAAGTTAGGTATGAGGCCCTTTAACTGGACTGGACTCATTTCTGGTGTTGGTGCCTGTACAGCTGGTCCACGACGCTGTGCTTCATTTTGATGGGGGACGTTCTCTTTTTTTCTTTTTCTACTTTTATCACTAATTAGCAGCTCTCTGTGTCAGGGGGTGATTAAATGTGGAGTCCAAAAACAAATGGGTGGCAACATTGGCTACTTCCATTTTTTTTTTTATACATACAGTCTATGATTCAGGCCAAAAAGTTCATTCATCATTGTTGTTTGGCAGTGTTTCAAATTTCGTTGTACATGTACAGTGACAAAAAGGAGCTATTCTATTCTACTGATCATTCTTGAGACTATATTCTAGTATTTAAATTAGAATAATGAATTGAAATAATGTACCTGAACACTTTGAAATAAGAAATAAACTGCTAAAAATTCACTGATTTTCACCTCTTGTCGTTTTATCTCTTTGGGGCTCAGAGGTTGTGCTGCTCCCAGTCGGACGTCAAATGTCTCGCTCCACAGCTTGCTGTCCCGACGCTTGGAGGCCGGAGCAGCTGCGGTTGAAACCCTCGGGGCAGTCATGGAGGACGAAGGGTTCGAGAGTGTCGCTGAGATAACACGTGTCTTTGTCGAGGAGGAAGGAGGAGGAGGAGGAGCAGCTCTCTCTGCCTCATTACGAAGACTGATGGTGCGCTGCAGAAACAGAAGATGGTTTAAATATATATTAGAACTTATTTCTGTTTGTTAAATTGTACTATTCTGTAGCCTAAAACTTTTGTTGCCATCCCTGATTCTGGAAGTAAAAACTCATCAATCATCAATTTTCCCCATAAATGATATTATTAAATAATATAACTTGACTATAAAACTGTTTTTTGAATTATGACCTCCCTCCACTCCCTCAGCATAGGTGCCAGTATACTGTAATGTCACCTGCTATTGAAGTCAAGCTGAGTGTTTTGGGTGTTGCCATTTTTGTGTTTTGAAATCGGACAGGATCTGGCTGCACATTCATAAGGCGGCGATATCTTCAGAGATTTCTGTGTAACCAGTCGTCTTTTTGCCATTAGAAAGAATGTAGTTTTAAGGCACTTCCACACTCACTTCACTGCTATTTTCTACTCTAAACTGTAGGATTCATAGCTGCCCCTGCACGACATCTCTGATCTAATTTCATCAAATCTAATACTTAAAATGGGAAGCAGGATAAGAGCCACTCTCATTTCCCATCTTAAATAGCCTACTACTAAAAAAACTGAAGACATGTGATTGTTGGTTTACCTGCAGTGTCTGGCCAATCCTCTTCAGCGGCGTTGTCTTGACGGGGGGCAGCAGGCTGGCCAGAGACGCTACCCGGGATACAGGCTTACTGCGCTTGGTGCTGGGCTCCTGGAAGGGGTGAGCAGAGCCACATGGTTACATTATCTCACAAAATCAACACACCTGGGATACAAACGACCCAAAGGGTTAACAAGGACACCAATTAATCAACCAAACATCAATACCAGCAGACATTTTTCTTGTTTTATATCAGCCAGTCAGAGGTTTCTGTGTGTGCAAATGTTCTAGTTGATTGTGGGAAAGCCGACTCTGGTTTGTTGACATATTATACAATAGCATGACTCAAAAGTCTTTCCCTCAGTACCAGACTTTATCACACACGCAGTCATGTTTCACTAATTTATGTCACGCACACACTAAACAGGACAGTTGTTACGGTCACTGTGTGAGACTGGATGATCATGGAGACAAGAGGCTGTTGTGGTTTCATGTAAAGCTTAAATTTAACATGGATTTTTCTTTAGCCAATTATTTTTATAACACTGAAATCCCTACAAATTCATGTATTACGTGTAGCAGCTGATCTCAAAGCGAATGTGGACATCCATGTTAGTTCTAGATTATTGAGATTACATGTAGATTGTTGTTTGTAAATAAAAAAATAAATAAAAACAATTTTTAGTGCAGTGACACTTTGGAGTCAATGGAATAAGTTTTCAAACATATCTTTAAATAACTTTTCATCAAAGAATGACACTAATAGTGCCTGTTATTGATTACTTTGTCTGAATCAATGAATATACAGCTTGCAAAGACGAAGAATATATATTTATTATTCAATTATTTGGTGTTGATAAACAGCCGTTTTTGCCATCTCGTTATATGCAGTGACATAATGAAGATAAAAAGAGTAAAATTATCATTTCATAATGATAAATGAACAAACATGTATGTATTTCATATGTGAGCAAAGTTAAAAGCGCTGCAGGACTAGGGCTGTTGATATAACGATATATCGGATGACGATATAAAAACGTCTATGTTTCATTTTACGCTATTGTTTGTTTCGTGGTGTCGCAAAATAAACGTTTACGGCAATATTTTTACATCGTTTTGATGGTCACTGTAGTGGCTATATTAACTTCTTAAAGTTCTCTCTTTCTCTTATATTTAATATAACCACACTATAGACGGACAAGCGCCTGTTTTTATGCGTTGTCTTTAGCAACAACAACGTAAACCTTTCACAATAAAGCTCAAGATCCTGTTGAGACTTTTCAAAATAAACCGCATCATGTGAAAGAGTATGCAAAATATTTACGGATAAGAAGCAAAAAAGAGCCGTCAGGTGCTAAAAAATAAACCTTAGACTCAAACGTTAAGTTACAAATTATGTCTAACAATATATAGTTTCATGCATCGGTTAAAACACTCAACTCCAGGTACATGACTCTCAGCTGGAAACACTTCACGCAAATCGAGCCGCCGGAGATTCACAGAATTTACAGAAAATGTTACATTTTTGTGATTTATATCGTTATCGGACGATATCAGGATATGAGATTTTGGTCATATCGCACAGCCCTATGCAGGACTACCAAAAACCGCATAACCATCCCTTTATTAGGTTATTGGCTCAGATTTCTGGGGAAGTTCCCATGATTCACTGACCTTTTCTCCTCTACCTTCCTCTTTTGACTCCCCTTGTGTTTAAATGTTATCATTATCTTTTTCCCCTTTATCCATCTCTTCCCTTTCTCTTCAAAACCCAACTCAACCTCTTTCGAGGTGGTAAAAAATGTAATTAGAATGATTTAAAATAAAATATGATGGGCTGCTTTTCTTGTCATGATGCCTCCAAATATCAACACCACGGGGAGTGAAATTATTTAAAATTCAACTGCATTTGTTCTTTTTATTGGCTGAAAAAGTACTCCTACAGGTACTTAAATGCATTGGAAAACTGCTGGAGAGGGCTAGATGCTGACAAAAAAACACCAATCCAAATCAGCAATGCAATATCTGTGATACAGGGACACAAAACAAACAACAACCATGTCGAGTCCTTCAATTGTTGGAGAGTTTTTAGTCTCATTCATCGCAAACAGTGTTTTATATGTTCAGAATAAACTTTACGGTCAAAATGTTTTTGCTCAATTTTAAGTTTTGATGAACATAATGGTTATTTAATGTTTATATTTACTGCAAATTAACTGGAAAAGACATCTTTATGGCTGTATTTTGTTACAACAAACTACCGAAGGTTGAGCGTAAAGCAGAATCAGCATCACAGCTCGTTTAATAACAATGCACACAGTTAATAATAATAAGCAAAGGTGTCTACATAGGGATGTCACCCCAGCATTCATACTTTATGCTTAATGTTTTAAGTGTGGAAATTATCAGATTTAAGGTATTTCAACATGTTAAATCTCCCAAAAATATTTTTCTATGGCACATGCATTGAGATGCAACCGCTCCATTTTCAGTTTTTATCAGAAGCAGCAGCTTGACCCAAGCTGGATCTCGAAAATAAGATTTAATATGTTGCAAGTGGTAGCTGATTGTTTAATTAAAAATCCATTTAAGCCTAAAAAGGCTTGTTAAAGACTAGGTACTTTTTCACTTGGTTATTTGTAGTCCTAGTAGTGAGTCTGATGGATCTGAGTCTGTAAACAGACAGACTCAAAGCCCTGATTAGGACGGCATCTTGTAAACAATAGGGACACCTGGTGTGCACCTGGAGTTTCTGCAGTGGAAAGGGTACATCTCTTAGTGTGAAACTGCCTCTGGGTTATCTGCACTGAATGGAGACTTACAGTAAATCAGCGTGTTTGTGTGTCTGTGTGTGTGCAGCTGTGCCCGGCAGCTCACTGTCAGCTGACCTACTGGAACACAGGAACCATCAGCTCTCACAGTCAGGAACCAGCTGCCTAAAAATAAATCAACCTCTGAGATAATTTTCTTTTTTCCTTCACCTTTCGATTTAAGTTCACCCCCCAAATCTGGAAATAGAATTTCCACAGTTTTCAACAACTTCTCAAAAAATGATGAGTCAGTGATGAGTCTCTAAAATACTCATGAATCACATGGAAATAAAGTCAGTGTCATTTCCTGGTGAAAGTTATGAGCTTAGATGCATTGCAGCTGTTTCGTGTGGGTTTTTTTTGGTTTGTTTGTTTTGTTACAGATTTCAGGTTCAGTTTGGATCATAAACTATCTGCTTATTTGCTTCATGCTCAAGAACTTTCCATTGGACAAACTGTAATGGGTTTTCTGTGGATGATGGTGCTTCAGCTGATTCGAACTGACAGCAATCAATTCAACACAGCTCGTCAGCAGCTGGCTGGTTATTTAATTACAGCAAGTTCACAGCAGGTTGACTCTGGTCTGCAGTTTGAGTCATTGAACTGCAACGTTTGTTCAGTCGTTTGATATAAAGTTCATTGTAAATTAAACAACTGAACAAACGTTGCAGTTCAGGGATTCAAACTGCATTTTTATAGGTCTTTAGTGATACCTAGCATGACCCCAGACTTTCAGGAAATGAAAATTACTATAAAGAACATTTTTGAGGTGTTGTTCATCATAGTTTCACTTCTCGTTTCTTGTTCAGTCTTTTTAGTTTAAAGTAAATGACATTAAATGTAACTAGTGCTGGTTTTGATATTAGTTTGTTGAATTAGACCATATTACATCAGATTAGATCACATTTGATTGATTCACATCAGTCGTGTAATAGAGTAAAGTAGGCCCAATCAGATTACATCATATCAAACCAGAATACAAGTTACTAGATCAGATTCTGTATATTTCTAATTAATCACTGTACAGATAAGTACATATGTGAATATAAACAAAGTGATAAATACATCATATTTAACATATACTGTGTTGATAAGAAAACTGATGTCACCGATTGGTTTTGGGGGGG